ATTGGCTCAGCAGCGGCTACCACAACTGGTATTTGTTCAATTACTGGGGGTTGGAATCTGTTCCCATTTGCATTCACGTTTCCGCTACGGGTCCTTGCCATCTTGATCTATACACCGAATAAGGTGAATTTAGATCTTTATTTAGGACTGATGTTCAAATCATCCTTATCTCTCCGAAAAGTTTACATGCTAGTTCTAATATCGTAGTTGTACGTTTAGAATCCTAAACACATAAGGTTTCCAGATCCGGTCGGCAACAGACCATAGATCCGAACAATTAACAGCATATCAGGCACAAAGCATTTAGCACATAAAAGCATTTTAGGCATAATTCCTAAAATAAGCTAGTGCTCACACCTCACAATCATCGCTTAGCATTCTAAGTTTAAGTCTAGAAATCCTACAAATTCCTAGTTCGCTTAAACTAATGCTCTGATACCAACTGTGACATCCCCAAAATCACGGCCAGAAAAGACCGGTTTTGTTTATACTTTATTTCAAAATCAGAATAATCTTTTAATAAAAGAGTTGCGAAATTTGTCCCAAAACAATATTATGATAAAGATATCAAAAGCATTTCCTTAGAAATGTATTTCATTAAAAAGACTCGGGATGTCATGTTCGATACAGTACATAAGTATAAACAATACAACATAGGCCTTACTACATTATTTCATATCTACAAGCCTATATCCGTAAGCCCTCATCCAAAACATCACATTTATGCTCATGCGCCACTACATGTAATACAAGAAATTGAGTGGGTCAGGCTTGGGAGCCTGGTGAGCACATAGGGTTTTCAACCCACAATAAATAAGTTTATTAACTTTATCAAACCAAATAAACCCGATTACCCATTCCCGTTATCCTCACTTTACGTCCCTAAGACATCTAACACAAGGGATCTAGTCTAAGGACGATCATCGGGATGGACACTAATGCTAAAGGGATTCCTCAGCAATAAATGTCCTTAAGGCAACCATGTGGGGGATGGAGTACATCTGGTGAGCACACAGTTCAATTAAACACATTCTTCAAATAAACACCTACAGGTTGCGAGCCTACTAGCGTTCCACTGGACCGTCTAGAATAGTCTGTGGTCGTCATCTATACTCCGCTACATGACTGGATCATCAATAATATCTATAACGAGGCCTCTCATTATTTCATTGTATCACACAGCAACTAATACATCTACCCATGTTTTACCCCAACATTTTCGTAGATATAAAATACATATACAGTTTAAATCATTGAAAACATGTATAAAAATGTTCATCCAACATAGATAGCAAGTATTCAGGTAATATGCACACATAGCACGTAATTTATATAAAATACTTCATATCTATGTTTAAGTTGAAAGTAACTATGCACTCACAACATGTAACTTATATTAAATACTTTATATATGTGTGTAAGATGAAAGGGACCATGCACTCACCTGAAAAGGTGGTGATTCCGAACTCAGACAGCGCTTCGCTTCTTAAAAAAGAATTTCCTTCGACGAAACCTAATATTATTACCACTAGAGTTTAGTCTATTATTCGCCCAGACTAATTAATAGTCTAGCTATTATTACTATTATATAAGCGTTAAAAAATACTTATATAACTCATAATAATATCCCAAGTATTTATTATAAGTTCCTAATAACGTTACTATAATTAAATAAAAGCTATATTAAAAATAGCGTAGACGTAGCTCACTTACAGCAGGTTTTATAGAAAACCAGGCTTTGCTTGGAGAAGCGTTTCTGAGCCGAAAAGCTCTTCTTCTCGGAGCCGTCGAGCACTCCGGGGCTTTCGCCTCGTGCTAGGGAGGTTTCCTAGGCTTTTCGGGGGATTTCGGGGCTAGAGAGAGGTTCTAGAGAGAGAGAGTAAAGAGAAGAAAGAATGAGAAATGTGTGAAGAAAATGAAGGTGGGAGAGGTGGTATTTATAGGGTGAAAATTGGCTGAACTTGGTGCCACATGTCACCATCTAGTGGCAAGACTTGGGGAGAAAGCAATGGCCAAGATTGTGCCACATCACCCATTTTCGTACAACACACTTCCGACTTCTAAAATCCGTAACTTTCACATACGATCTCCGTTTTTGACGTTCTTTATATCCACGCGTAGGTAATAATAAGATCTACAACTTTCATTTTGACTCCGTCGGCTAATTCTCGACCGATCTTAAATTTAACAGTACAAGGAGATTATATTGTTAAACGTCCGCATAAAATTCATAACTTCTACATACAGACCCTGTTTTCGTCTGTGTTTTTACCATTGATTTTCTATTAATGAGATCTTCAACTCTCATCTAGGTCGTGTAAGCCAAAAACCACTCGAACTAAAATTCGTGTTTCGGTCTGTGCACTGCTAAGCCGAATCTTAGAAAAATCATAACTTCTTCATACGAAGTCAGATTTGGGCGTTCTTTTTATGGATTTTCTCATTTTAACATATTCTACGACTTTCATTTAGATCTCTAAGGCTAAAAATTCCTCCATCATAAATTCACTATTTACGTCTCCCGATGTCGTGTTGGTTTCGCCGTAAAACTTCGGCGGGCCATAACTTATTCGTTATAACTCGGATTTTTGCGTTCTTTATATCCCCAGAATCCTTGTTTCGACCCCTATGACTTTATGTAGAGATATCGGACTTATTTCACACTTTAATTTTGATGCTTATTTTTATTCTTTATTACGTATATATTTATAATAAAGTAATAAGCACACAAATACACATAATTCACATAGAATTAAAATATTTCATCTTTATTACATCAAAAAGAGTTACAATAGTTGACCTAGACTATTACATCGTCTAAAAATGCTTAGCCCCGAAACCCGGGCGTTACAAGGAGTAATAGAGACCATGGAGGGGTAAAATGGTCTTTTATCCACTTCAAAGAGTTAGAGAGAGAAAGAATAGCCTTCGGTTATTTGAGTTGTGAAAAGAATATTTATTAGAGATATTCATCCTTTGTGTTAGGCGGAGACTACTTCGAGATTCGGTTGCAAGGTTATTTACTTGCTACTTGCCAGGTGAGTCTTCTCGCTATACTTTACCTAGAGTGGTACTTATGTATGATCGGAGGGTCTTATGTGTTTAGATTGAGTATTGTGTTATCCTGATTATGTTATATGTTGTGCATTATTTCTTTGTGATTTATGTTGTGTATTACTCAGAGTTTACAGAGTTAGGACTAGAGGGTCCATAGAGCCAAGACCAGAGGATCCATCAGAGTTGTGGGACTAGAGGGTCCTATTGAGACACATTGACCAGGGGTCTTACAGAGTTATAGCATCGAGTGACTAATTATATGTGCGTGGTATTTTGGGGAACTCATTAAGCATCGTGCTTACCGTGTCAGGATCGCGGGAAGATACCGGCTTGATTGTACACACCAGTGAAAGAGTTACGTTTTTGAGAATCCTGGATTTTAACTGAACAGTTATGGAGTTTTAAATATTAAACTTAATAAATGAGATTTTTGGGAAATACATTATGAGAATTATGTGATTTTAAATGAAAATTCTGTTTTGAGAATTTAGGTCGTTATATATATATATATATATATATATATATATATATATATATATATATATATATTCAACATTTAATCGTCATTTTAACAGAAATTGTCAAACACTAAAAACAAATTATTAACTTATTGTGTTTTGATATCGGACAAATTGTCACAAACACTCTTTATAAATCTCTGTTTTCACACCGGAAAAACCAATAAACACTTTTATAAATAAACATAAAGTGTATTAAATAAACAATTCAAAACACCCCTTAATTTTAAAAATTATCGTTTATGAAAATACCCGATATATATAGCATGTATTTCTTTTGTAAGTTTTTTTTTCTACAACAATAAATCCATAACATGCATCTTCTTTTATAAAATTTCCTTTTGTTTAAACATTAAAATTTACTTTTAAAACTACAAAACAAGTTTTTTCTACCATATTTTACATAAAGTAAGTTAATTCAATTATAATCTTATCATATTTCTTTTTGAAAATTATATAGATGGTTATCATTCAATTAGTTTTAAACAATATTGTAAAAATTTTGATCAGTCTCCAATTAATCTTCGATTAGTTTTTAAGTACTATTCGATCGACTAAAAAGTGTCTAGCATGAGTCTATACCTAGACAACGAGTGGAGATATAGAAATCAATAAATTTAAACATTTTATAGAAGTTCTATCTTAATATAAACTATTTAAAAATGATTAGTGTTGTATTAATCATATTAACATATTTTGTTATGATATTATGGTATTTACTAAATTTGTTATAATATTAGTCATATTTAAGTTTTTAAATGTAACAAAATTACAATTTATGATCAAGGCGTTTTAATTAATTAGAAAAATATAATTCAACACATATTGATTGAAGGCAAACGGGCAACAAGCTGCGCCGCTAGCCCTTTCTGGATGGCCAAATCAATTCTTTTGAAAACAACATTTGTGGATCTAGGAGATATGACATTAGAATGCATGACCCGTTGGATTCTGTTGAGGAACTTCACTGCCTCTGGTGCGAGAAAACCAAATGTATCGAATACAAAAGGTACAAACACATGTCGATTTTCTATACATGCATTCTCGTGCCTTACCACTTTGCACGCAGCGACTTTCAAAGTGGCATGCCCTGCTGTGAAACCCCCGCTCCCCAAACCAACGAGAGGAGAGACCCGTGTAAGATCCTCGCACGCATACTTCCCTCGTATCCATCCAAAGACCAAAATGTCAGCCGATCTAAGTGTGGACCTTCCATCCTGTGGGTCCGTCAAAAAGTTCATTGATGCTTCTTTCTTCGCAGAAATAACAGCACACCGACAAGCATCAAAGAGAACATCCCGAACCACATCATGTCTGTACTTAAAACTAGGGAGCTCTCCATAATGAACCGCATGTTCCCCAAATGTATTCAAACATGCCTTGCGGCAAACTGGGTATATCTCGTCAATTGGGAATAGGGGAATCATGAGGCGGTAACGAAGGATAGTTCAGTACTCCACAGGAGACATATGTTGGCCAAGACCATCAATAGGGATAGTAGAAAATTCTGAGCATGAGGTGCTTGCGGACACTCAAAGACTGCTTTCTATCTGACAGTCATGTTGAAGTCAACTTTCATATCTTTGACAACTTTGCTAAAAAGGACACATGCCAATTCTTTTTAGAATTTTTTTTTTTTTTTTTTTTTGGGGGGGGGGGGGGGGGGGGGGGGGGAAGTGTCCTTATTAGTGAAACCGCTATAGTCAAATCCTGGAATCGTATCACGAAGACGAGTCATAGCACATAGGTAATCCGAATCCATACCACATACGCCACTGTCACGTAAGATGTGGTCTTGTAATGTCCAAGATTAGACTATCGAGGCTACATATGCGTAGGAGGAAACATCATATGCCGAGTACAAACCCAAACCATCGAAACGAATAGGTAAGAAAGTCAGCCGCCACTCTCACGTATTAGACCGACTCATCCATGATCATTAATCAATCGATTTAGTAGCATCTAACGGATTTTATAACTCTAATATTTATGTTTATGTTTTACCAGGTCAATAATGTAATATTATAAAAAAACGAGGGCTTCTCCTGACCTTTTGCAGAACTTTTGTCTATAACACAGTATTCTTTGTATTTATTTTTTAATCCAGAAAGAAACTTCTTTGACGATTTCTCTGCGTTTTTCATCTCTCTCCTATTTTCTGTCGCCATTTTCGTCCCTTTGTCTGAAAGCTTTTCTCTAAATTGTCTCCGAATTTCACTCCTCCGATGATGCTTTAGCCCGGTTGAGCTCTCTATCTGTTCACTGTAAGTCAAGTGTTTAGTTTCTTCCAATTTTTTCGTTTTTCATCATATGTCTATGCATGCGATTGATGACGATTGTATTTGACTTTAATAGTTCGACTTTGCTAGGTAAGTTTTGAAACTTGCTTGTTCATTTCTGTTGTTTTTGAAGTCAATTTACATGAAATTAGTGAAACATAGTAATCACAGGCGAATTAATCGGGTGTCTTTAATGAATGAGTTCTGATCGTGAATAGGCTTTGGATCTCCTAGGTTTTTTATCCGTTTGGTAATGAATAACAATAAATGTGACAATTAAATGATTAAAAGTCAATTTTGAGCATCAATTTCACTAGAATAGGAATTTCACCCTAATGTATAAACACATCTTTGTGTACGAGAGCTACGAAAATCTGAAACTAGTGAGAACTGTTCCAAAATTGAATAGAGAAATTCATCAGTATACTGGCGATTTGGTAGGTAATAACAGAAACCGAAGAAAAAGGTTTTGCAGAAAATATAATCTAGGGTTTTGAGAAGTGTAATGAGGATTTATCAATCTTATCTGTTCATGGCAGCTGGAATTTGTGCAACATGTTTGACAGTGGATCAAAGTCCCAATATGTTGGTGGCCAGAGAGAGAAGTTCAAGAGGCTAGATGATTTGGATTCAAGAACATCATCACCTGCTTCTTCAGTTGCAATGAACAAATGTGGATTTGAAATAAGCCGACCGAAACACACACGCGCAACAGCTGCTCCCACAAGATCTTTCAAAAATGGAATCAGAAAAGGATCAGAAGGACTTAAATCAATCGGTAGATCACTCGGATTTGGTGTTTCTCATGCTGTGTTCCCTGAAGATCTTAAAGTCTCTGAAAAAAAGATCCTTGATCCTCAAGCCAAATTCCTTCTGATGTGGAACAAATTCTTTGTTGTCTCCTGTATTATTGCTGTGTCCATAGACCCACTCTTCTTCTACCTTCCTGTTTTTGATCAAACCAAAACTTGCCTTGGTATAGATCGAAAGCTAGCCATTATTGCTACAACTCTAAGAACAGTTGTTGATGCATTTTATCTTATTCACATGGCTCTTGAATTCAGAACTGCTTACATTGCCCCATCATCTCGTGTTTTTGGACGTGGTGAACTTGTAATTGATCCTGCTCAAATTGCCAAAAGATACTTGAAATGGTATTTCATCATTGATTTCCTTTCCATTCTTCCCCTCCCACAGGTCAGAATTAATTTATTTTAATTTTTATATATATATATATATATATATATATATATATATATATATATATATGAATCTATTTTTGTTAACTCAACATTATTTTATAATGTCACAGATTGTTATCTGGAGATATTTGCAGAGGCAAAGAGGTTCAGATGTAATGGCTACAAAAGAAGCGTTACTTTATATTGTGTTGATTCAATATATCCCAAGATTTGCTCGATTCATTCCTTTGACTTCAGAACTTAAAAGGACAGCTGGCGTTCTTGCAGAAACTGCTTGGGCTGGAGCAGCCTATTATTTGTTGCTCTACATGCTTGCCAGTCATGTAAGCATAAAGTGTTTGTATACTTGTATACATAACATAAGGCCTGTTTCTTTTCCAAGACTAAATGACCATTTTACCCTTCCATTCCAACAAACATTTTTCACAATATTAAGTGAAAAGGAAACAACCATGTATAGCTGTCCAGATGTAGTAAGTAGTCCAGATGTAGTAAGTAGACGTAGATCCATATTTAGTTATTTACATTGTTTGTTGATTTGGTTTTGTTACAGATAGTAGGGGCATTTTGGTATATGTTATCTGCAGAGCGTGTTGACACATGCTGGCAGAAAGCTTGCAAAGCAAGTCAACATAATAAGGATTTAATATACTGTGGAAATGAAGACATGCGTGGATACGACAGCTGGATCAGTAACAGCACCAATATTTTAAAAGAGGCTTGTTCGCCAGATGGCGATGATCCGCCTTTTGATTTTGGGATTTTTAACCAGGCTTTGTCTTCGGGAATTGTCTCCTCTACAAAATTTGTTCAAAAATACTGCTACTGCTTGTGGTGGGGCCTACAGAATTTAAGGTAACATAACATTAACTCCCCATTTGTATGTGTTATGTTAACAAGACTTTATGATTTTTTTTTTTTTTTGTATGTCAGCACTTTAGGTCAGGGGCTTCAAACAAGCACTTATCCTGGAGAGACTATATTTTCAATTGCATTAGCCATAGCTGGGCTCATTCTATTTGCTTTGTTGATTGGCAACATGCAGGTTATGTCATAACTTCCTCTACATTCTACCCCCAAATATGCAATAACATATTCGGCTTCTCATTATAGCATTGTAATTTCGCCTTTTCTTATTACAACGTTGTGCTTTTAAATTATTCTTAGTTTGGGAATTGTATTTTAAAAAATTCACCCATTATAGCAATGGGTAGCCTGCTGATTTGAATTATGATGACATTTCACAAGTTCACATGATGTAATGTCATGTCATTCTCCACATAGGACATCCTATGTGGACAATGACATAACATAAAATTCTCTCAACTTGTGCCATGTCATCATAATTCAAATCAAGCAGGCTACCCATTGCTATGATGGGTGAATTTTTTAAAATACAATCCCCTAACAAAGAATAATTTATAAGTACAACGTTGTAATAAGAAAAGCAAAAGTACAATGCTACAATGAAAAAAAATGGAAAGTAGAATAATTTATAAATCACACAAATAGATAATTTGTGTGATTTATATATAGATTTATGTGTGGGAAAAACAAAAAGATTGAAATTTGGTATGGGTATGATATGGCAGACTTATCTTCAATCTCTTACAATCCGTCTTGAAGAGATGAGGATCAAGAGGCGTGATTCAGAGCAGTGGATGCATCATCGATTGCTTCCAGATGATTTGCAGGAGCGTGTCAGACGATATGATCAATACAAATGGTTAGAAACTCGTGGTGTAGATGAAGAGAATTTGGTTCAAACTTTACCAAAGGATTTGAGAAGAGACATAAAGCGTCATCTTTGTCTTGCTTTGGTCAAAAGGGTAATTTTCTGTTTCTCACTATATACATATGGAATGGAATTATGGAATCGATCGCCATTTTTTTTTCAGGTTCCTCTGTTTGAGAACATGGATGAGAGGCTTCTAGACGCGATTTGCGAGCGTCTAAAACCCTGTTTATACACCGACAGCAGTTACATAGTCCGAGAAGGCGACCCGGTCGACGAAATGCTCTTCATCATACGAGGCCGCCTCGAGAGTGTCACCACCGACGGCGGCAGAAGCGGGTTTTTCAACCGGAGTTTATTAAAAGAAGGAGATTTCTGCGGCGAGGAGCTTCTCACATGGGCACTCGACCCTAAATCCGGCGCGAATCTTCCCTCCTCCACCAGAACCGTAAAGGCGTTAAGAGAGGTAGAAGCTTTTGCACTACCCGCCGACGAACTGAAATTTGTCGCGAGTCAGTTCCGGCGACTTCACAGTCGGCAGGTACAGCATACTTTCCGATTTTATTCCCAGCAGTGGCGGACGTGGGCGGCGTGCTTTATTCAGGCGGCATGGCGGAGGTATTCGAAGAGGAAGATTTTGGAGCAGCGGCGGAAGGAGGAGGAAGAGGAGGCAGAATTGGTGGCGCGTAACAGTGCCGTTACCGGTACGTCGTCGTATAGCCTTGGGGCGACGTTCTTGGCTTCGAAATTTGCGGCAAATGCGCTTCGTGGGGTTCAACGGAATCGGAATTTGAAGACTGCGAGGGAATTGGTGAAATTGCAAAAGCCTCCGGAACCGGATTTTACCGCTGATGCTGATTAGTTTTGTTTTGTTTGTATTTATGATTGTTGAATATAATTTAATTATATTACCTTATAATACTTCGTTTCAAATTTTTAAATGTCTTGTTGTAAGGGAAAGCTTGCTGTAAAAACGATTGTAATTGTGATGATAAAAAATAACTTATTTGTATCACTATAATTCTTGTAACAAGAGTCAACAAATCACATTTGACGCCGTGTATTTAGTTATTTATTTATTTTTTAGTTAAAGCCATTATTGTAAACTGCTTCACTATTTTGCAATGGAATTTATGTAGGGTATCGAATAATTAGGGATTAGTATAGCTGAGTACCCGCTTCATTTGGTGAGAACCGGAACTGGAAGAGATGGTTCTTAGAAAGTTAGAACACGAACTGGTCTAGATAGATCTTAAATTTTTGGAACGAATCTCGAAACCGACGGTTCTGGTTCCAAGAACAGGTAATCCGATTACATCAACTTTATTAAATTTTTTCAATTAAACCGTAATTAAGTTTGGTTGAAATCGAATCAATTCGGATCAAAAGACGGACAAAATTAGACCAATATATTTTATATCAGTCTAAAATAACACGCATATATATATATATATATATATATATATATATATATATATATATATATATATATATATATATATATATATATATGCGTGTTATACACACACACACCAGTAGCGGTTCCGAAAAAATGAGAACCGGAACCGGAACTAGCTTAGCGGTTCCGGAACTAGCAGTTCCGATGTGGTTTCGGTTTTGAAAACGGATACCCAGTTTCGATGCTTATCCCTACGTATAAAAGCACCTTTATATATTTGATTATTGTACGGATTTGATCTTGTTTTTTTGTTATTGTCATCAAAACACATAAATTTTAACTTTTTGGTTTTAATTGGTTCTCAATTTTTTTCAGCTTTTAGACCATTAAAATCTAATTTGACAAGTTAAAATGGAGAATGGTGTTATTTATTTAGGTTGGGAAATCGGGGTGAGTACATAGGGATTTCAATCACACAATGTTATATATATATATATATATATATATATATATATATATATATATATATATGTATGTATGTATGTATGTATGTATGTATGTATGCATGTATGTATGTATGTATGTATGTATGTAATGTAACGTAGTTTCGTAGTGATACCTGCGATACAAATAAACTGAGTGGGTCAGGTTGGGAAATCGGGTGAGTACATAGGGATTTCAATCTCACAATGTTATATATATATATATATATATATATATATATATATATATATATATATATATATATATATATATATATAGGAATTCACAATATATACAATTTCACTTCATATAAGTAATTTTACCCCACCCCGTCGATCCTCACAACGATTCAATCTATACTCTCGGATCTAAAATTAACAGTTTTACATAATCCATACTTCTGAATCAGGTATGTCTAATCTATGCCCTCGGATCAACGACAAATGACTGTGCCCGCTTCATACTCTCAAAATGATTATGTCTAATCCATGCTCTCAGATTAACGACAAATGACTATGCCTTATCCATACTCTCGGACTAGGATGAATGATTATGTCTAGTCCATGCTCTCAAAGCAACGATAAATTTTAAAGTTCTACCATTCTATAACTCACTCCTATTCATAAAAAGATACTACATAATATTCATCTTAATTAATTTAGGTTTACTCTATATCCTAAATCATCATATATTGTCGGATATGCTCCCAATATGTATTTCAAGCAATATCAAATATTTCACACATAAACATATATTTAATATTTTAATTAGTACTTGTATTAAAATCTTGTTCATGAAATGGACTATGCACTCACTTGTTAAGGTGACGACTCCAAACTCGGGCAACGCTTCGCTTCTAACAATTTTATTTTCCTTCGACGAAACCTAGTATCATTATCACTAGATTTTAGTCTAATATTTATTGCGACTAATTATTAACTCAAGGTCTACGAGCTATATTGTTTTATAAGTGTTAAACAATATTTTTTAACTACTGTGTACAGGCATGGGCCAGACATGCAAACCTGATGGCATGACCATTTTGGCATTTAAGCTGTTCTAAAATCCAACAACTCTATGCGGCCCTTTAAACCAGATTTTCCGTACCGCGAGTAGTTAAAATGTATTATAATAACACTTGTATAATTTATAATACTCAACACATATATTGTTTATAGGTTCGTAATAACAATAATGAACTTTAATATAAGTTATAATTAAAGTAGCGTAAACATATCACTTACAATAGAGTTTAGCGAGGAATCGGGCTTTATGCGTGCAAAACTTCTGAGTGGAAATCTCTTCTTCTCAAGGCTTTCCAACGCTCTGGGACTCGTTTCTAACACCTAGGAGGTGCTAGGGAAAAGGCTTAGAAGGTTTGGGGGTGTGTGGGAGAGAATGGGTTAGAAGGTGTGAAGAAATGAAGTGATTTGTGCCTATATTTATAGGCTGAGGAATGGTCGTACGTTGGGCGCACTCCAACATTATGCTAGGCATAATGTGGCCATGTGTCATTATTTGATGGCAAGGCGTAGGGAGGAAGCAGTAGCTCAGATCGCGCCATGTGTCACTCACTGGTTACTCTACAAACTAATTATCTTCTAAAATCGGTAACTTTCGCATATGAGCTTCGTTTTTTACATTATTTATATCCACACGTAGGCATCGATGGGATCTACAACTTTGGTTTAGACTCCGTCGGCTAATTTTGACTTTATTTTTGAAGTTATATTTTAACATACTTAGAAATCCGTTAAAAATTCATAATTTTGTCATCTGACGTCCGATTTCGAGTGTCTTTATATCGTTGAGCTCATATTAATGGGATCTTCAATTCTCATTTAGGTTTTGTCGGCTAAAAATCGACCGATCTAAAATTCGATTTCCGGGTTACGCAAAGCTATGCTAAATCTTAGAAAAATCATAACTTCCTCATACGAAGTTAGATTTGACGTTCTTTTATGTATGTTCTCGGTTTAACATATATTACGACTTTCGTTTAGATTCCTAAGGCTAAAAAGTAATTTATCAAAAATTCACTTTTTACGTTATGGGGTGCCGTATCGATTTAGCCGTAAAACTTCGACGAGTCATAGCTTATTCGTTATAACCCTTGTGACAAATACTATAACTTGGTTAAAGTTATTTATTCTAAATAATCTTGTATCAAAAGTCATCTTTAACGCTTACTGTCTTTACAATGACTAGCCCTGATTTGCGAGCGTTACAACTGATATGTTACATAGTTTGGTAGAACACGCACACACACACACACACACACACATATATATATATATATATATATATATATATATATATATATATATATATATATATATATATATATATATATATATATATATATATATATATATGGGAACACTGCGATTTGGGAGACAATAAGGTTATATTAGGGATAGCACAACTGACACAGGACAAAAAAATACTATTTTTCTGTTGGGTTTTGAGCATTCTAACACTCCTAAGTGTACATGCAACCCTAAATACCTTGGATCTATGTTTTCTCTATTATACATGCAAATAAGAATATCCAAGGTATTATCCTAATCTAGCATACAAAACAATGAGTGTAACAAGATAGAATACATACCTCTTTGATGTAGAAAGTCTTCATGAAGCTTGAGTGCCTAGCCCCAATAGTGTGGAAGCCTCAAATGGAATCACAATCATCAAAACACTTAGAATAACTTGAGAGAGTTCTACACTTCATGAAATCGGCTAGCCCTTTTGTTACTCTCACTAGTGGCCGATTTTGTCAAGAATAATATCTTTATATAGTGTTACAATTAGGGTAAATCCTTAATTGTCATGGCTTTCCATTTCCTTGGATCCATGGGTTCAAATACACCATGGAGCATCCATGGACCATCCTATGGGTTTTAGCCCAACTTGATTATCCATGGAGCATTAGCCCACTATATAAGTATGGATGATTTACACAATCAACCCATATATTTAATTAGTCTTCTTTTGATCACTTAATTAATCCTAGATTAACTCTTGATCAATACTAATTAAATAATCTTATTATTCTTATTATTAATACACTAGAACTTATAATATATTAATAACCATAAGTGTCTTATTTCTCTCATTATAGTCTATCCAAGTGCATGATGGTATGCAACCCAAATGGACCATGCCGGGTCGGATCAAGTCTTACCAATTATAGTTATGGACTTAGACATTAATCCAACAGTCTACCACTTGGATAAGTCTAAAACTATTATTGCGTATGACTTCAGGAACCAACTGGCAATCGTAGCTCTCAAAAGCTTCTGTCGAACTCTGACCTTGTAGATGAACTCTGATCTTGTCAATGACTTGTCCATTAGATAAGGGATCATATAATCCTCTGTTCTCATGATATCAGCCGGACAAATACATGGAACAACGTCATACTTATTATCAAGCTGTTTGTTTCCCGATTTTCGATTTGTTTGACAAAGAACTTAATCGAACACATCAATTCAGTTCTGACCGGCCGGTACATATGTCACAACAAAATCATCGAGGGGCCCAAATATCGCTTCTATTTCTAGAAGGAACAGATAAACTTCGACTCATATACTTGTTCTACTACTTGTTGAATTGTACACAAATGCACGTTTTATAACATCAAGTTACCGATGCGTTTATGTGCAATCAATGCACAACCAACTCATAGGTAACAACTCACATCTCTAGGTTTGAAGATTTATATGATATTACCGTTTCACGATCACCCGAGATAAATTCCATGAAGTGATACAAGTGAGCGTGGGTTTATTCCAATACTCATAACTTATGAGCACTCATGAATGTTGTAGCAACCATTGCCATGACTAAACCCATTTAGCCATCTACAAACCCGATTCATGACAGTCTTGATTCATACCTACTTCCAACATATGAACGACTGTGGAGTGTTTAAATAACCTAGTCATTTTGTTGGATATTATTCCTTTTATATATCAGCT